ATCTTTCCTATACCCTTTCAAGTTTAACAACATCTTTCCTGTAGCAGGAAAACAGAAGTGGCCTAAACAATGTCCCGTACAGCTGCAACATGACATTGCAACTCCTATACTCAATGCACTGACCAATAAAGGCAAGCATACCAAACGCCTTCTTCACTGCCCTATCTACCTGCGACTTCACTTTCAAGGAACAGTGAACCTGCACCTCAAGGTCTCTTTGTTCAGCAACACTCCCCAGGATCTTACCATTAAGTGTATAAGTCCTGCCCTGATTTGCCTTTCCAAAATGCAGCACCTCACATTTATCTAAATTAAACCCCATCTGCCACATCTCGGCCCATTTGATCAAGGTCCCATTGTACTCTGAGATAACCTTCTTTGCTGTGCACTACAGCTCCAATTTTGGTGTCTTCTGTAAACTTACTATCCATACCTCCTATGTACATATCTAAATCATTTATATAAGTGATAAAGCAGCGGATCCAGTATCAAACCTTGCAGCACACCACTGCTCACAGGCCTCCAGTCAGAAAAGCAACCCTCCACCACTATCCTCTGTCTCCTACCTTCAAGAGAATTTTGTATCCAAATGGCTAGTTCTCCATGTATTCCTTGTTATCTAACCTTGCTAACTTGTCTATTATGTGGAACCTTGTTCAATGTCTTTCTGAAGTCCACATAGGCAATGTCCACAGCTCTGCCTTCATCAGTCTTCTTTGTCACTTCTTCAAAAAACTCAATCAAGTTAGTGAGGCATGATTTCCACGCACAAAGCCATGTTGACTATGCCTAACCATTCCTTGCCTTTCCAAATACATGTAAATCCTGTACCTCAGAATCCCTTCCAACAACTTGCCCGCCAACGACTTCAGGCTCTCCAGTCTGTTGTTCCCTGGCCTTTCCTGACCACTTTTCCGAAATAATTCCACCCGTTTTCCAGCACTTCACTTGTGGCTATTGCTGATACAAATATATCAGCAAGGGGCCCAGCAATCACTTACCTAGCTTTCCTAACAAAGTTCTGGGATGGACCTGATCAGGTCCCAGGGATTTATCCACTTTTATGCAATTTAAGACATCCAGTACCTCCTCCTCCTCTGTAATATAGACACTTGCAAGTTCTCACTATTTATTTCTCCAAATTCTCTAGCTTCCCTACCTTTCTCCAGTAAAATCTGACATGAAATACTCGCATAGTATCTCTCCCACCTCCTGCGGTTCCATAGATGGACTTGTTGATCTCTTAGGGGCCCTATTCGCTGCCTAGTTACTCTTTTATCTTTGATGTATATGTAGAATCTCTTTGGATTCTCCTTAAACCTATTCCCAAAGCTATCTCAGGTCCCCTTTTTGCCCTTCTGATTTCCCTCTTGAGTATACTCCTAATGCACTTATACTCCTCCAGGGATTCACTCGAACCCAGCTGCCTATACTTGACATATGCCTTCTCCATTTTCTTGACCAGTGCCTCCACTTCTCTAGTCATCTAGCATTCTCGACACCCAACAGCCTTTCCTTTAACAGGAACATACTGTCTCTGTACTCTCGTTGTCTCATTTTTGAAGGCCTGTGCGGGCAATGGCAGGTGATGACATAGAAACGATCATTATCACTAAAGAGGTAGTATTGGCAGGTAACGGCTCTAGGTAGACACGTCTCTTGGCCCTGATTGAATGCATCCTAGGGAACTAAAAAAGACGGCGGGGCAAATAGCAAATGTGCTCGTAACAATTCACTAAAAATTTGCTGGATTCTGGGACGGTTCCGGCAGATTGGAAAACAGCAAATGTGATGCCACTATTTAAAAAAAAGTAGGTGGACAAAAGGTGGGTAACTATAGACCCATTAGCTTTACTTCTGTAGTGGGGAAACTGGTTGAATCTATGAAAGATAAAGCAGCGAGACATCTGGATAGAAATTGTCCCAACCAGCCGACGCAGCATGTAGTCATGAAAGGCAGGTCATGTTTAACTACTTTACTGGAATTCTTTGAGGATCTCACAAGCACAATGGACAATGGGGAACCAGTGGATGTGGTGTATCTGGATTTCCAGAAGTCATTTGACAAGTTGCCACACCAAAGGCTGCTCCAGAAGATAAGGATGCATGGCGTTACGGGTAACGTATTAGCACGAATAGGGAATTGGTTAACTAACAGGAAGCAAAGTATGGGGATAAATGGGTGTTTGGATTAGTGTCGGGACCACAATTGTTTACAATTTACCCAGATGATTTGGAGTTGGGGAACAAGTGTAGTGTGTCATAGTTTGCAGATGACACTAAGATGAGATGTAGAGCAAAGTGTGCAGAGGCCACTGTAAGTGTGTAGAGAGATACAGATAGATTAAGTGAGTGGCAATGGTCTGGCAGATGGAGTACAGTGTTGGTAAATGTGAGGTCATCCATTTTGGTAGGAATAACAGGAAACTGGACTCATTTTAATGGCGAAAAATTGGTGCATACTGCTGTGCAGGGGGACCTGGGTGTCCTTATGCATGAATCACAAAAAGTTGGCTTGCAGGTGCAACAAGTAAGTAAGATGATGAAAGGAATGTTATGCTTCATTGTTAGAGGGATGGGGTTTAAAAACAAGGAGATTATGCTGCAGCTGCATAGGGTTCTGGTGAGGTTATGCCTGGACTATTGTGTGCAGTTTTGGTCTCTTTACTTCAGCAAGGATGTACTCCGCTCTGGAGGGAGTGCAAAGGGTGTTTACTGGTTTGATTCTGGAGTTGTGAGGGTTGGCTTATGAGAAAAGATTGAGTAGACTGAGTTGAGGAGGAACGTCTTCAGCTAAAGGGTTGTGAGTTTGTGGAATTCCCTGCCGAGTGAAGCAATTGAGGCTACGTTCTTGAATGTTTTTAAGGCAAAGGTAGATTTTTGAGCAGTAAAGGAATTAGGGATTATGGTGAGCGGGCAAGAAGGTGCAACTGAGTCCATGAAAAGATCAGCCATGATCTTATTGAATGGCGGAGCAGGTTCAACAGGCCAGATGGCCTACTCTTGCTCTTATTTCTTATGTTCCCACTTTCCAGCCGTCCCTTTACCTGTGAATAGCTCCCCCTAATCAAACTTTGAAAGTTCTTGCCGTGTACTGTCAAAATTAGACTTTGTCAAATTTAGAACTTTAACTTTTAGATATGGTCTATCCTTTTCCATAACTATTTTTAAACTAATAAAATCATAGAATCCCTACAGCATGGAAGCAGGCCATTTGGCCCATCAAATCCGCACCGACCCTCTGAAGAGCTTCCTACCCTAGCCCTGTAACGCTGCATTCCCCATGGCCAATCCACCTTGCCTGCACATCCCTGGACACTATGGGCAACCCATCCAACCTGCATATCTTTGGAGTGTGGGAGGAAACCGGAGCACCTGGAGGAAACCCACGCAGACACAGGGAGAATTTGCAAACTCCACATGGAGTGTGGAAGGCTGGAATCAACAACAGCAGAATTGTATTCCAGCACAATCTGTAATCTTATGACCCGGTACATCCCGCACTTAACCATTAACATCAATCCAGGGAATAAGTGCTGGTTGAATGGATAGTACAGGAGGGCATGCCAGGAGCAGCACCAAACACACCTAAAAATGAGGTGCCAACCTGGTAAAGTTACTAAACAGGACCACCTGCATGCCAAACAGCATAAACAGCAAAAGACAGAGCTAAGCGATTCCACAACCAACGGATCACATCTAAGCTCTGCAGTTCTGCTACACACAGTCATGAATGGTGATGGACAATTAAACAACTCACTGGAGAATACACCACAAAAATCACCACCCTTACTGGAGAAGCCCAACACATTCACACAAAAGACAAGACTACAGCACTTGGAGCAATCTCCAGCCACAAGTGCCAAGTGGATGATCCATCTCCAGGCTTCTCTAGAGGTCACAAACATTACAGATGCAAGTTTCCAGCCAATTTGATTCATTCCACATAATATCAAGAAATGAACTCATAGTGCAAAGGCTACAGGCCCTGCCAACCTTCTGGCAATAGTACTGATGACTTGTGCTCTAGAACCTGCCACCCACCAAGCCAAGCTGTTCCAGTACCTCTACAGCACAAACATCTACCGACATTGTAGAACATCGCCCGGGTATGTGTTCAGCACAAAAACACAGAGTAAATACAACCCGGCCAATCTCCCCTCCATCAGTCTACTTTTGATCATGAAAGTAAATGAAAAGTGTCATCAACAGTGCTATCCAGCAGCAGCTGCTCAGCAATAACCTGCTCAGCGACATCCAGCTTCGATTCCGCAAGGACCACTCAGTTCTTGGCTTTATTACACACTTCATTCACAAATTGACAAACAGCTGAATTCCAGGGGGTGAGGTGAGAGTGACTGCCATGTTCCGCACCAAGATCACCTATTTCCGCTTTTGTGACATCATCCGATTCCACCTCAGTCTCATCCAATCCTGTGTTACCTCTGGACTTAACTATCCAAACACACTCCCAGCCGGCCTCCCACGTTCAATTTCCCTATAATCTGAAAAACATCTAAAACTCTGCTGCCCACATATTCACTTGTACCAAAACTTGATCCCCCATCAAAAGGCCTCTATTTATAAACAACATTTTAAAATCTGTACACTTGATTTAATTCCTGGTTGTGATCATCCTTATCTCCCTGTACCACACAACCTTTGAGAGTTCAACAACAGATTTTGTTTCAGACTCCAACAATGCGTTTTTTCATTGCTTCATGACAAGTAGCTGTTTCTATAGTTGCCAAGGCAACAATAGAATTACCACCCTAAACCTCTCAAGTCTGCTTTCCACCTTTAAGACATTCCTGAAAACCTGCTTATTTGGTAATGATTTTGGTCACCTGTCTTAATATCTCCATCTGTGGCCTCACGTCAAAAGTTCCTTGAGAATATTTTTGTCAAATTATACACGTGATAAAAATACAAACCGTTGTTGATTTGGACATTTCATAAACTTTTCACTGTCGCTGGGTGAATGATCTGTAACTTCTTACCTAAAAGCACTGTGGAAGGACCATCACCATACAAACTGCAGCAGTAGAAGGAAGTCGAACATCACCTTTGCCTCAGGCATCAGGGGTCTTGGCAATGATTGCTGGTGTCTGTGGAGGAAGAAACAGTTGATATTTTAGGGAGTGCAAAATGAATTACGGAGAAAGAAAATGGTGCAGAACTTGATGGTCAGAAATAGAAGGGAAATAGACTCTCTCGCTGGAAAAAGAATGCCTGACTGTGAAAGATATTGTGGAAAACGAATCTGGTAACAGAGCAGCACAAGATCTGTGAAAGTAACAGTAAAATACTAAACAGAGCTAAAAGATACTCAATTATTAGAGAGTGAAGTTAGATATTGACAAAAAGGTGATCAAGGAGCACAGAGGTGAATTAGAGCAGTGTTGGCTGTTATGATCCTACGGTCTAGGAAACAAATCCAGAAGAAACAAAAATTTCCCTTGGTTTCAATTTGCTCTGTTTAAATCCTCCCCTTGCACTCTCCGCCAAGAAAGGCTGCGCATGTGTCCCGCTGCAGCTTGCCCCCTACAAAGTTGGTGGCTGCGCATGCGTCCCTATGATCATTGCCCACCAATAAAAATGGCGGCGGTCAGTCGGGCCTGTCACCGTTTGAAGCGTTTATTCGTTTTCTGCAAACAGAGGCCGAGGGAGTTTCATATTTGTGTTTTCCGACGTGTACCAAATGTTATGTAAAACTTCCAAGCTCATAAGAACATAATTTTTCTGCCGTTTAACTTTCTTTAACATGTCCTGCTCTTTCCTCAACTACGCAAACCTCAGTATCAGCGACTCTGCACAGTTCGCGTGGATGATCACGTGGCTTACACTGGTCCTGCCCCTTGTTTACTCCGATTGGTTGGAGGAGCAGCTGCCTCCGCCCTGTTGTCTAGCACCGCCCCTGTGCTCCTATTGGTCCCGCGCTGATATCAATCACCCGGGTCCCCGAACACAGAAGATAGAACATAGAACATTACAGCGCAGTACAGGCCCTTCGGCCCTCGATGTTGCACCGACCTGTGAAACCAATCTGAAGCCCATCTAACCTAAACTATTCCATTATCATCCATATGTTTATCCAATGACCATTTAAATGCCCTTAAAGTTGGCGAGTCTACTACTTTTGCAGGCAGGGCATTCCACGCCCTTACTACTCTCTGAGTAAAGAACGTAAACTGCAGCGTGTGGAGTGCTTCTTGTTGTCATCAGAATCTTGCATTTTCAGTCCAGGAGGGAAACGAACCTTAGAACTACATTGAGAAGATGTACACTAGAGATCCTCGGATTTTAATAAGCTTGAAAGGGCTTCCTGCAGCTAAAAGCTAAAGATAGCTCTTGATACTGCTCTGTCAGCGAAGAGAGAAATGTTGGTGAAATAAGTGTAATAAATACAGGCATAGCAGTCCTCAGGTAAGATGTCACAAGGTTGTCATAAAACAATATTTGATACCAGGCACTTTTGGCCATATTAGGACAAGTGACCAAAAACTGGCCAAAGAGGAAGGTTTTAAGGAGTATCCTGAACAAACAAAGAGACTTTGAAAATCAGGGATGTTTAGGGAGTAAATTCAAGAGCTTATAGCCTTGGAAACTGAAAGCATTAAAAAGAGTTAAAACCAGAAATCCGCAGGAGGTTGGAAGTCAGGGAGAACAAATATCTCGAAAGAAAAACCAAAAGAACTGTGGATGCTTGAAATTAGTAACACAAACAGAAATTGATGAAAAACTCAGTATGTCTGGCAGTGCCTGCAGAGAGAAAGCAGAATTATCGTTTTGGGTCAGGTGACCTTTCTTCAGCTAGATCTCAGAGGGTTTTGAGGCTGGAGGGATTATCAAAAGGAGGTGTGATGGCAAAATTTCAAAATAAGGATATGAATTTCAATATCTTGGTGCTTTGCCACCCAGAAAATGTGTGTTAGTGAGCACAGGATGGAAAAGCACCAAGATATTGAAATGGTGAGAGTAAACACATGAGCAGCAGATTTTTGGATGACCTCAGGATTATAGAGAAGTGGAACTTAGGAAGGCGGCTTGGAGTGTGTTTGGGGAGTTTAGTCAAGAGGTATCAAAGGAATGGATGAGAGTTTCAGCAGCCGATGAACTGAGATGTTACTGAGGTTGAAATGTATGTGGTCTTTGTGATGATGGGGTGTGGGCGTGTGTAATGTGGTTGGAAATTCACATAGGGGTGAAATATTGCACAATATTTGTGAGCAGTGTGGTTCAGCCTCAGCCAGTTACCAGGGAGAGGGATGAATTCAGTGGTGAGAGAGTGGATTTTGGCTCCCAGCCTGGGATTAACATGTAGCATTGTCTGTTTAAATGTGATATACACCCCTTTCCGAGCAGGAACGGACTCGCAGTAGAGCTGAGTTGTAAACCAATGATCAGCTTTATTGAGACAAAGTGTGGAGATGTTTTTCTGTTGTTAAGCAAACTGCAGTGACAAACTCAGAAAGCTATTTTGAGTTGAATGCGGGTTATACTGAGTATGTCAATAACTAGACAGTGGAGCTCTTAAAGGACATATTGTCGGTTTTGCAGCCTTGGCCTCCAAACTTTATCTCTGTCTTTCGCTTTTATCTTCTGATTCTAGTTGCTTTCCATTGCACTGCCTGTTTCTATCTCCATCCCAAAATCCACAAACCTGACTGCTCTGGTCGACCCATTGTCTCCTCTTGCCCCTGCCCCACCGAACTTATCTCCACTTATCTCGACTCCATTTTCTCCCCCTTGGTCCAGGAACTCCCCACCTACGTCCGTGACACCACCCATGCCCTCCACCTCCTCCAAAACTTCCGATTCCCTGGTCCCCAACACCTCATCTTTACCATGAATGTCCAGTCCTTATACACTTGCATTCCCCATGCAGATGACCTAAAGGCCCTCCGCTTCTTCCTGTCCCGCAGGCCCGACCAGACCCCTCCACTGATACCCTCATCCGCTTAGCTGAACTCGTCCTCCCCCTTAACAACTTCTCCTTCAATTCCTCCCACTTCCTACAGACAAAGGGCGTGGCCATGGGTACCCACATGGGCCCAAGCTATGCCTGCCTCTTTGTAGGGTATGTGGAACAATCCCTCTCCCGAAGCTACACTGGCCCTATCCCCTACTTCTTCCTCCATTACATCAATGACTGCATCTGCACCACCTCGTGCTCCCACGAGGAGATCGAACAGTTCATCCACTTCTCTAACACCTTCCACCCCAACCTTAAGTTCACCTGGACCATCTCCAGTACCTCTCTCTCCTTCCTGGACCTCTCTGGCAACCACCTGGAAACCGATGTCCATTTCAAGCCTGCTGACACCCACAGCTACCTAGAATACACCTCCTCTCACCCACCTTCCGCAAAAATGCCATCCCCTATTCCCAATTCCTTCGCCTCCACCGCATCTACTCCGGAGATGAGGCATTCCACTCCCGGACATCCCAGATGTCCTCGTTTCTCAAAGACCGCAATTTCCTCTCCACAGTGACCGCGTCTCTCACACAACTCATCCCTCACACCCGCTCCCCGCAATAACAACCAAAACAGAATCCCCTGCATCCTCACATACCACCCTACCAACCTCCAGATCCAACGCATGATCCTCCAGCACTTCTGCCACCTGCAATCTGACCCAGCTACCAAAGACATTTTTCCCTCCCCACCCTTAGCTGCCTTCCGGAAGGTCCCCTCTCTCCGTGACTTCCTTCGCGCTCCACAATCCCTACCAGCCCCACCACCCCTGGAATTTTTCCCTGCAACTGCAGCAGGTGCTACATCTGCTCCTTCACCTCCCCTGTCACCCCTATCCCAGTCCCCAAGAAAACCTTCCACATCAAACAGATGTTCACCTGCACATCTGCTAATGTGGTATACTGTAGCCGCTGTTCCCGATGTGGCCTCCTCCAAATCGGGGCTACCAAGCAGAGGCTTGGAGACCGCTTTGTGGAATACCTATGCTCCATTCGTGACAGACGACAAGATCTCCCAGTCACAAACCACTTCAACTCCCCCTCCCACTCCTTGGACAATATGTCCATCCTGGGCCTCCTGCAGTGCCACAACGATGCCACCTGAAAACTGGAGGAACAGCATCTCATATTCCCCCAGGGAACCCTACTACCCAATGGTCTCAATGTCGACTTTACAATCTTCAAAATCTCCCCACTCCTGACCTCATGCCAAGACCAGCCCTCCCTCTCGTCCCCGCCTCCTTGACCTGTCCATCTTTTCTCCCACCTATCCATGCCTCCCACCTCAATGACAAACACCCACCCCCACATCCCACCTACACTCACCTTTCCTGTCTTCATCCCCGCCTCCTTGACCTGTCTGTCCTCTCTCCACCTATCTGCTCCACTATCTACCTTCTATCACTGCCTCCTCCTCTGTCCATTTAGTTCAGAGCCCCCTTCCCCTCCCCCATTTCCGAAACATCAGCTTTCCTGCTCCTCTGATGCTGCCTGGCCTGCTGTGTTCCTCCAGCTCCATACCTTGTTATCTTAGACTCCAGCATCGGCAGTTCCTACTGGCCCCATCACCATCTATGACTGGTTGTAGCAGGATTGTTGGTCTGTTGATCTTGCAATCATTTTGTCCTGTCTGTAATGCGTTAGTTCTGCTGTTTGTAATGCAAGCAGCCGAATGCGGTAGCCATAACGGGTTGCCATCAGTTTCAGGTACACATGGTTCTGACCCCTCCATGTTTGCCTGCACTCGTCACTGAAACATTGATCAGCTTCATGGTAATCATAGACTGAGGGATTATCCGGGACAAAAAGTCACAGATTCTGGTGGAATACAATTCTGCTTCTGCTGTGGTTGACATCACCACATGAATGCCCAGTTTTGAGCTGCAATAAGTGCAATGTAATTCAGCTGCCTGTCCCCCAGTTCGGACCGAGTCCCCATCGCCCTTGTACGCAGTGACCTACCCTGTTTTCTGATGTGGTAACACTTCCATTTTAATATTCTCATTCTTCTGACGGTCTTTCCATGGTGTCACGCCTCCAATTTGTCACATTCCTCAAAACCCTTTAACATATTCATCTGAACCTTTTCCTTTCCAGGAGGGGCATCTTCGGGTGGCACAGTGGCTCAGTGGTTACCACTGCTGCTTCACAGCATTCGGGATGTAGGTTCAATTCCACCCTCAGGCGACTGTCTGTATGGAGTTTGCATATCTCCCCGTGTCTGCGTGGGTTTCCTCCAGGTGGTCCGGTTTCCACCCACAGTCCAAAGATGTGCGAGCGAGGTGAATTGGCCATGCTAAATTGCCCATGGTGTTGAGGGATGTGCAGATTAGGTGGGTAATAGGGGGCTGGGTCTGGATGGGATGCTCTGAGGGTCAGTGTGGACTTGTTAGGCTGGAGGACTTGTTTCCACACTGTAGGAAGGTTTTTAAAGTGAATGTTTCTCTCTCTGACCATGATTAAGAGCTCTGTAGTGTCAATGATGCCAGCGTTATGTCGTTTGGAACCAATGTATTTGTGCACCTTGCGCTGTCATTCACTTCTCAGTGTATGGTGATCCATGTTGGACAGGGCGTTTGAGCAGCTTTGACACATGTTTTTGGAATTTATTCGAAAACACAAATTGCTGAAGAAACTAAGCAGGTCTGGCAGCATCTGTAAAGTGAAAGCAAAGTTAAGCTGTTGGATCCAGTGATGCCTTTTCAAAGCTCCCAGTTTCTCCAGCAATTTTCCTTCTTGTTTCAGATTTCCAGCATCCACGGTTCTTTGTTTTGTTGATAATTCAGTTAGTGCCGATTCATTTCTGGAGAAACTCAGCAGGTCTAGACGCATCTGTGGAGACAGAGAAACAGAGTTAAGGTTTCAAGTCCAGCG